TGATGCCACCACCAATTCGACAAGAACGAAAGGTGGTTTGAATTATGATGTCGATGAAGAGGAAAGGAGATGGTGGTGGCTGGTGTTTGGGGTGGAGAGGAAAGGGAGTCAAAGAATTTGTTAGGGAGAAAAGGAGAAAGGGAATGGGAATGAGGTGAATGGGTGAGGATATATGGTAAGACCCAAATTTTGATGCAGTGACACTAATAAATTGGTTGTATGCAAAAGTTTTGGATCACATAACAATCATAAAAAATTTAAAGTTGACTCTTAGGGTTGTTTTGGGAAGATGGTAAAAAGTGACTTTTTGACTTTTAACCAAACTTTTTGGGAGTGATTTGGGAAGTTGGTAAAAAGTTACTTTTAACCAAATTTTTTGGAAGTGATTGGACTAAAATACCCTCACTCAACTTAAAAAATTTACATTTCACCCAAACTTACAAAATATAAATGTTGAGGGTAGATATGTAATTTTACAACTTACTTTTTACACTTCCCAAATGACAACAAAAATGCCAGCTGCGTTTTGCTAACAAAACGCAAACCTTGCGTTTTTCTGTGTTCCCAAAAGAGCCCTTATTGATTATGGGGAATGGAAAAAGTTAAATTTAACAAGTATCGAATCTCAGATATAATAACTTATTTAGAGCAACTCTAATAGCATAGGACATTTTCCCTAGCAAAAATATGTACAAAGTACAATATTTATTTTTACTAACCACTTTACATACTATGAATACTTCAACAAAAGCTTTTGTCAATAAGTTATTCAAAGTAAATTAACTTTTCAAAGAAAAATGCGATATACACAAAATAATTGGTTGTATGCAAAAGTTTTGGATCACATAACAATCATAAAAAATTTAAAGTTGACTCTTATTGATTATGGGGAATGGAAAAAGTTAAAATTAACAAGTATCGCAATCTCAGATATAATAACTTATTTAGAGCAACTCTAATAGCATAGGACATTTTCCCTAGCAAAAATATGTACAAAGTACAATATTTATTTTTACTAACCACTTTACATACTATGAATACTTCAACAAAAGCTTTTGTCAATAAGTTATTCAAAGTAAATTAACTTTTCAAAGAAAAATGCGATATACACAAAATAAAAAATGCTACTTTTGTCGGACATGCCACATAGACACCTACACACTTGTCTACGGTATTAAAATAGTCATTAAAAGACAAAATATGTTAAAAAGCTAATAAAACAAAATATCACATTTAAACCATAGTTATTTTCACTTTTTTCTTACAAAAGTAAAAAAAAAAAATTCAAAAAATTTATTTCAAACGAGACTTTTTAATCTTAGACTAAAATAGTCATAAGCTAAAAAATTAACTCGCATTCCAAATGAATCCTAAGGATGATATAGTTGCTGATATAACATTTGTGCAGTAGTAAGGGATAAGATTTACCTTATTGAGAAGAGAGAATGTATTTGTATAACCTCCTCTATTGATTCGCAAATTATAGTTAACTCCTTCCCAATAAGACATAATACTTAATGATTTGTTTAATCTGTCGAAACAAATGCTCAACAATAGTATAATACAATGAGGGCGTGTTTGATTCGTGGGATTGGAGGGGGACTATCTACTATTTGGATTACAATTTAAATAGTGCTTCTTATCCGCCGTTTGATTTTTTTTTAGTCCACCAGACACGGAGTCCGGCCGGACTCCTTATCCCCCATATGGGGGACTATTGTGTCCTGGGGGGTGGGACAGAATGTGGGGGACTATCCACTGTTGGGATTAGATGCTAAAATGATCATTTTGACCCTCTACTATTTAATTATGCATTATATTTACTAAAATTCAATAAAATTTAAATGTCTCAATTTAAAAATAAAATAATTTTATTTAACTTTTTATTGATGTTTTATTTATTTAATTTTTTAAAATAATTTTTTATAGATATTTTATTGATGTTTTATTTTAAAATTTTGTTTATATTTTATTTAATTTCATTATTTAAATTTAATAGATGTTTTAATAGATGTTTTATTTAAAATTTATTTAAAATTTTAATTTAAAAAAATAATATAAATTTTTTATACAGGTTATACAGTATTAATGAAATTTTATATGATTTATTAAATAATATAAAAAAATAATGTCCCCTGTATTTTATTAAAACAAATTTATTTAATAAATCATTGTGTAAAATTTAAAACAGTAATGGTGTAAAAATTTTAACACAGTAATGCTTACACAGTAATCAAATTTTAATAAAAGTAATGGTTACACAGTAATGGTTAACAACAGTATCAAATTTACCCTTTTTATTTATTTATTTATTTAAAAAAAAATAATTTATTTAATTGTGTAAAAATAAAATAAAATAAATTTTTATTTAATCTAGCTAAAAATAATTAAAATATTAAACATATGTTTAATATTGCTATTACTTAGTAAACAATTGAAAAAGGGTAAAATAGTCTTTTGTTCATTTATCTTATCCAGTCCGTCCAACCAAACGTTGGATTCACTAAAAATAGTCATTTTCAGACATCTAATCCCATGAAAAAACAAACACAGGATACATATCCAATCCAACTAAATAGTTCTGGGGATTCACAGTCCACTCAAGTCCGATGGATTTTAATCCCCTTATCCAGTCCGTCCAATCAAACACACCCAGAGTGTGTTGAAATTGAACATAAGGGCAAATCACAAACTCTAATTGCTAATTAAACAACTTGCAAAGCAAGATGGCCTTGTTTGGCAAAGGTTGAAATTTGATTTTTTAGGTAAAAATTCACAAAAAAAGTAAAATAGGTTAAAATAGTAAACAAGATAAAATGTCACGTTAAATTCATAATCGTTTTACTTTTTCTCTCACAAACATCACATCTAATTATAAAAAAAATTTAACAATCTTCTTAACTACAAAAATTTTAAACTATTACAAAATAGTCAAAATTAAAATAATCTACTAAAATAACTAATTTTCCAAACAAGTTCAGTGATAATAACAAATGCTTAAACCTTAGATCTCTCTATCTATATTCATTAAGCAACAAAAGCACGACAAACACAATAATATACACATATTAACACCCAACTCAACTACAAATATTGTTCTTCCGTGTCGATTTTCTCATTCCATAAATTAATTAATGGACAAGGACCTTTATACTTTAAAAATAAGGTTCAGGTATTTTATGCATTGGGAGCCAAAGTCCCCAACCCCATCACCACCATCCTCCAATCAAAAATACACACACAAAAAACATAGAAGAAAAAAAAATAAATTAAAATAAGAATATTCTAGACTTTTGTTAGAAACCAATTACGTGGTCCTTGTCCTTGCTATCCTCCCCTAGGCACAAAAATACACACACCTCTCCTTTTCCAAAATATTTAAGACAAAAAAATAAAAATAAAATATAGAATAAATTAGACAAAGTCTAATTGTTAAATGAGATGTATTATGTTTCTAGGCTGCTCCGTAACTAAGTTTAATTCTTGCATTTTACTATGATTTTTGTGAATCATTTTATGTTACTAGCATTACTTTTTATGAAATTACCAAATATATATATATATATATATATAGGATGGGGCTCTTAATTTTATAAGATTATTTATGTATATTATTCATATAAAAATTAAATTTGGTTCGATAATTATGCTCTATTTAATTTATCCCGTTTGTTATTATAAAAATAGATAGTTTATTTTTAAAAACATACTCGTAGTCTATCTTTCTTGATAAATATGATAAATTAAATAGATTACAATTACTAAATTAATTTAATTTTTTATTAAATAATAAACACGAAGAACTCAATAAAATGAACGATTTAAATTATCAAAACTAGGAGTGTGTGTAGTGCGATTTGGACGGTTTGAAAGTAAAATCATAAACCGAATGGCGGATTAGTGAATTGGCAGATTGACAAATATTTTAACAAATTTTCAAATCTTTACATAATATGTAACACTAATTTGTATAATTATTTTCATATATATAACACAAATTAATTTTACGTAATATTTTTCATATATATAATTATTAAATTGTAATAAATTTCACATATTAAATCTCTCTCATACTTATTTTTATTTTGATATTTCATTATATATATATTAACTACAATGGAACGGAATAGTTTCGAAAGCGAATTATAAATATTAAAATTTAAATCGTAGTTAATAGATAGAGTGATACAAATTAATACAGATCGATATAATTTTAACAAATTAAATCATTTGTTTGACGTGCCAGACTTTTTAACTTTTTAATTATTTTAGTCACAAAAAGACAAAATAAATTTTTTAATTCAATAAAATAAAACACTACATTTAACTTAAAATAATTTTATTTTTTTTTCACAAAAATTAAAAAATTTATCTTAAACGAGATTTCTCACTCTCAAATTAAAATAATTAAAAAGTGAATCCATATCCAAACGATGGCATTTCACATAGTCCTGATTAAAACAGCACCAATGATTGACCTATCCACACAGCACTTACCGACAGGTTTGACTCTCAGCCCCGAAACATAGTTGTCCACGTGTCAAACCATCACCCCTTCCTTCACAAGTGCCATGAAAACCCCAAAACTACCCTTCAATATATAATTGGACAAAACCCACCCTATACAAGGAGTACAAATTTTTTAGAATAAGGTTTGGAATGACAAATTTTTTAGAATAATTTTATACCTCTCAAATTTTTTATTAAATAAATAATGTAAGGTTTGGAATGACAAATTTTTTAGAATAATTTTATACCTCTCAAATTTTTTATTAAATAAATAATAAAATATTTTATATGAGTGTAAATTTATAAATTTATATTTATATAAAATATTTAATTATTTATTTATTAAAAAATTTAATATTTTAAATATTATTTAATTTTTTTTTATCAAAGAATGTTTAAATATCTTACATAAATGTAAAATTATTATTTAATAAAAAATTTAGACGTGTGGCGTTTTTCTTGTTTTTTAGCTCGATTTTTTCTGTCCATCACGTTCCGAGTCGGATGTATATGCACAGAAAATCTCGTTCATTTCCTCTGTACCCAACTCTTTGTTCATCCCAAATCCTCTGTTTTTCGAGCTTCAATCAAGCAATCAAAAATGGCCGGAGTGTCTTTGTTCAATCAAATTTCATGCAAATCTCCACTGACTCGACTCAGCTCAAAGTCCTCTCTTTTTCCGACTAATTCAATCAGATTTGGGAAAACTGCGGCGAAGCTGTCGATCGGAGCGAGACCGGCTTTTAGGGTTCGTGCAGTGAGTGAAGAGGAGTGGAGGGCGGAGGGGGAGGCCGCCGGGGGGGTGGCGGTGGCGGAGGAGCCGACAGAGATCGATTTGTTGAAGAAACAGTTGGTTGATTCGTTCTATGGAACGGATCGAGGGTTGAGAGCGACAAGCGAGACGAGGGCGGAGATTGTGGAGTTGATTACGCAGCTCGAGGCGAAGAATCCGACTGCGGCTCCTACGGAGGCGTTGACTATGCTCAATGGGAAATGGATTCTTGCGTAAGTAGTAAGCAAAAATTAATTTCAAAGTTTATCTTTTGATAATTATATGCTTAGTTGATGAGTTGACGATAGACTAGACTGAACTAATTACATAGTTTTGACTTTGTGATGGTGAAGTTGTTTGATGTTTAGAAAATTTAAAATTTTGCCCAGAAAAAGGGTAAACTTTATAGTCACTGGCTAAATCCTTATCATCTTCAATGGGTTTACCTTTGATCAATGATATAGGCTTCCTACTGTTTAATATAGGTTTTGTTTGAGAACTGGGTTGGTTTTTGGGCTATTTTAGATTGGGCTAAAAAAATTTGTTTGATTGATTTTTTTGACTTATATAGGAGAAAAATAAATAATTATAATTTAGATGTGATATTTTATCTTATTGTTATTTTAGCCTATATTCCAAATGAAGGCGTAATGAAATTATTTGACTTCATTATTTTTTTAGACAATGTTTGGTTTATTGATTTGGATATTTATATATGTGAAATATAGTTATATTTTATTCACATTTGACTTATTTTTTTCTATTCTTTTTTCAAATCCCTAATAATGGTAGTGATTACTTCTAAACAAACTAGAAATTATGAATGTTCACATCAAGAGAAAATATTGAGAAATAATTGGTGACTTATGCCCATTTCGTAATAGTTATATTTATAAAAATTAGAAAACTATAAACAAAAAGTCATTTGGTGGCTATTTTTATTTTCAACAATGATCGAGACCCTTTTTTGAAAACTCCCCCAACCTTTTGTATTTTAACCATTGATGGTGTAGATCTCACACATATATGAGTGGGTCTCACACATACATCAATGGTTGAGATAAAAAAGGATTGCGAGGTTTCAAAAAAAGGGGTCCCAAGTATTTTTCTTTTATTTTTAAAAAATTGTAAACAATTTATAAAATTTACTAAATTCTTACAAACAAAATAAATAAATATATATATTTACTTGTTTTGAATAGTTTTCATTCTTTCTCCTTTCTTTCAGCATCTCTAGTTATCAACTTATCACCAACCTCTCATCACCACCGCTGTCCACACATCCAGCGCCCCCCACCTCTGGTCATCAGTGCTAGTGATCTCCTTTGACCACCACTTCTAGTGGCCTCCTCCGGTCACCACCTTCCTCTAGCCCCCACTTCCGACAGCCCTTTTGTCAACTGCCAAGCACCTCTGGCCACCCGCCTCTTGCCTGAAACTACCTTCAATCACCACTTCCCGCTGACTATCACCTCCAACCACTCCCTCTCACTTGTTTTCATTTTTTATTTTTTATTTTTTTTTAAGACGTGTGTATACTAAACAAGCTTTTTGTTTCGTTTTTACCAAAAATAAATATAATTTTTTTTTTATGTTTTATGTTTTATGTTAAAAAAAATAAATAGTAAACTTTACAAATGTTTCCAAATGGAAACATTTTTCTTAAATAGATATTAATTATATGATGGTACTATGGTAGTATTGCAATTTGTTAATTCTTCAATTTTATGTCACTCATGCCGTGACCTAACTGGTTAGGTGTCAATCGTGGTCCCATGTTCAGTACATTGCAATTTATATGTTGCCAGCAGTTGTTGTCTCTGCACATGGCTTGGACTTCAAATATGGTTTTCCATTTCCAGTTGTCTTCAGGGTATGCATGATATGTTGGTAAAATAATTCATTCTATAAAAGCTTCATAATGTGCACTAGGCCATGTGTATATACAAAAACTTAAAGCAGTCGGTGTGATTGTGCTGGTATGGTAATTTTGGCCAAAATTGAGTCATCAATCAGTTCACCATCTTGTTTCTCTAAGCCATGTTTAGTGTTTCTTTGTGTTTATTGGATCTGCATATATACAAGAAAATTCTATTGCGTATCTGATTTATGGAAGTGTAGGAGGAATTTCCAAATTTAGGATCATAGTTAGCAACACAGATGTTGCCAGATGGCTAGCATTAGCTGAGGAATATTGTTTTCCCAGATAACATGTGTTTATTGCTTTGTATTTGTTTCCTAGTTGATCTATCTTCTATGCGCTTGCGTGTGCACACACACAGACACCGCATCACATAACATAATATATTTATGTTCTACTTAAATTTATAAACATGGTGATTGTGACACGTAGTTTCCATTCACATTGCCTCACTGAATTTAAGATGCTTTTGAAATAGGCTCAAAACCGAGACCTGCATTATTCTTACAAGGTAATCTCGGTATTTACAGAATTTTGATGTGAGAGATTGCAGGTATACATCATTTGTAGGTTTGTTCCCTCTGTTGTCAAGAACACTGCCATTGGTGAAGGTGGAGGAAGTATCACAGATCATTGATTCGCAGAACTTTACGGTTCAGAACTCTGTTCTGTTTTCCGGGCCACTGGCTACTACTTCCTTCAGCACCAATGCCAAATTTGAAGTCCGAAGTCCCAAGCGTGTACAGGTCAGTTTTTCTATGGACACAAAATACATTTTACAGAATTTGTTAGTGGGATGCCCTTTTGAAAACTCTTGTCCAACCATATGCATTCTGTGCCTCTGGTTTTGTGATCAGTTTGTGTTGCTAGACTTATTTGTGTACAGGTTCATGTTTTCCCCTATTCTTGTGTTCTTTTTATTAGTCATGGTTAGTGCCAACAGTTTGAGGGCTTTGATTTGACTAATGGATCACTATCAAAAACATCACAAATTGTTATGTTTTTCTAAGTATAATCCAAATATTAAGATTTTACCTAAAGCATCATCCACACTTTTGCACATGCATACACGCGCATATATTTATACAGGATAGTGTGTATATGAGGTCTATAACTAAAGATAGCAGAATGGGGAGAGTTTTAAAGCACAGAGCACGTTAAGGTTTAAGATTGATTTGTTAGCCTTTTTTTTAATTTTTTTTTTAATTTTTTTATGTGGTATATGAAATATGTTAAGATCTTTCTATAGCTAGTGTGACACCAATTATGAATGCTGAAGTTCGGCTTCTAATAGCTGTGGAAGAAAGGAGAAAAATGTTCAATAATTGGAAATAATAATGTTCAATAATTGATTTCTCATACATTTCTTGATTGAATTTAGATCAAGTTTGAAGAAGGCATTGTTGGGACTCCTCAGTTGACAGACTCCATTGTGTTACCAGAAAACGTTGAATTTCTTGGACAAAATATTGACCTCACACCCTTCAAAGGCTTGATCACCTCTGTCCAAGACACTGCTTCTTCCGTTGCAAAGACAATCTCCAGCCAACCGCCACTGAAGTTCTCTATCCCGAGCAACAATGCAGAATCATGGTTACTCACCACATACCTTGATGAAGAACTTCGGATCTCAAGGGGAGATGCTGGCAGTGTGTTTGTGCTCATCAAGGAGGGTAGCTCCCTCTTGACTAGTCTTTGAATCATGAGTCTGTGTGTCTCTCTCTCTCGCGCTCTTGGGAATGTAGGATTTCTTGTAATGTTATATGAACAATGTGTTGGACAATAATAATTAGTTTCAAAACGTGATTGAAATTGACTCGTTAAATTCTTAGTGAACTGAAAACGAGTTGAGTTCAAATAATTTGATTTTTTTATAGTACATAAAAAGTAATCGAGGTGAGTAGCAGGTTATTCAAGTTGACTTGAAAATGTAATTTGTTTTAAAATGTATTCAAATTTAATTGATTTATAAAACAAGTCGATTTCAAACGAGATTTTAATGTGTCAAGTAAAATTCAAGCTCAAGATTTTATGAGTTTGTATTTATTAGTATGGTAATATATAATTGAAGATGTAACGCTCCGTTTGTTGGACAAAAAATATTATCTACAGAAATTTTTTTCAAAAAATATTTTTGAAGAAAATATTTTTTTATGTTCGGTAGTGGTGGTGGCGGAACAAAGGTGGAGATGGTGGCAGTGGCAGTGGTAGTAGAGGTGGTCATGGTGATTGTGATATGGTGGTGGAGGTGAGAGTGGTGGTGGTAGTGTGGTTTCGTATTTTAAAAGTGGAAAACATTTTTTTGTCTAAAGCTTTATTTAAGATGTTGGTTGTCTTTTTGACTATTTTAGTTTGAGGCTAAAAAATCTTGTTTGAGATGTGTTTTTTGGCTTTTTTGACTTTTGTGAGAGAAAAATGTGAAATAATTATGGTCTGAATGTGATATTTTTTCATATTAGCTTTTTAGTCTATTTTGTTTTTTTATAGCTATTTTAGCCCAAATCTTTTATGCCAAACGAAACCTAAATAGATTTGTTTTTCGTTGACCATGAAAAATATTTTATGATAACTTTCTTTTTTCATTGTATCAAACACCAGAAGTACAAAAATATTTTTTGCCAAAAAAAAAAAAAAAATCATTACAGCTAACTGCACAGTACATAAAAATTTGGCACTCAAGGAATCAGAATGCTTACAGTTTAACTGCATACTTCCTTTTATTAGGACAGTTGTTCGATGCTGTTTTTAACAATGGAAGACAATTAAATGAAGAATGGTATAAATTCTTTAATGCAAAGAATTAGAATGCTGAATGGATACTTTGTGTAAATGATTTGTAGCCAAGTTTTTTACTTTTATATTCGACAAAAAACCTCCGAAAGGTGGGAATATCGAATCCATCTCAACATAATAAACTCTAAATATCCTCATTCATCCACAAAACACTTGTATCAATGAAGATTAAACATAACATTAAAGAATTAAATCTAAGACACCTGGATTTATGGTTAATCTTAAGGTAAACACGTTTATCACTTGGCTGCCATTCATTTTGATAATTTGTTTGTTTTTTCAATCCAAACTAATGGTTTAGGGTATCTCTTATGGGCTCTCTAAATTTGTGTTCAAATGTTTATTACAAAACAAAAAAATGATCAAAATAGGGCCAAAACATATGTGAAGTCTTTAGTAGTTTAAAGAGTGAATGTGTACCTCAATGATATAGTTAAAATATGTATTAATTGTTTGTTAATTTAGAAAAACGAGTGAATATAGTTAAGTAACTATAATGCAGACTTAAATGTATTTATAAAAACAAAAAATAATTTAAAAATATGGAAGGAACTGTGTCACCACAGTTAGCAAATGCTCTAGATACGGCACTAAGGCCTCGTTTGGGAACAGGTTAATTTAGTAATTTTTTTGGCTATTTGACTAAAATATAAGCTAAAAAAAATTAGTATGTTTGGGATGACTTCTTGACTTTTTACGAAAAGATGTGCAAAAAGTAGAGAGAAAAAGAATCTTTAACTTTTTGATATGGGTTGTTGACTTTTTGGCTAATTTAGTAACTTTTTAGCTAAAAAGGAGGGTTCTCAAATGAGGCCTAATTACCAACAAAGATAATAGAACCGTTGTAGGTCAAAAGAAAAAGTGGAGTCTGTCTAATGACTTTTTGGAGAGATGCGATGCTGTAACGGTAGATGAAAGTGTTAGGGGACGGGGTAGGCCTTGATTAACGTTGACTAGCGTTTTAAATAGAGATATGAATCTACATAATTTGACTAATGAAATGGCCTTTGATAGGGCCACGTGGAGAAGAATGATTCATGTAGCCGATCCCATTTAATGGGACTTAAGGCTTGGTTTGGTTTGATTTAATAAAAATGAGTGACATCTACCATAATCATAATTGATTAGAATTTTTTTCTTTTAATTGGGCTTTGTATAAATTCTTTCACATATATATATTTTTTCATTCCATTAAGCAAAGCATAATGGCCACTTTATTTTCGTGTGACAGAGCATAAGTTGAGAGCTTCATAAGATGAGAAATGCACAACCAATGGCTAGTATTATCAGTGCATGTACGGAGTAAAGAACAAAGAATTAGTACCTTCTTGTAAGATGAGAGCATCCAAACCAAGCTTATTCTTCAATTTCACTTGACTCGTGCCATCTCCTAATTAGAACATTTAATTATGCACAATGTAAGTTGTGATAACAAAAGAATAATTGTTTATATCACTTTATTCTTCTCATTTATAAATTTATAAATATTAACTCTTCAACTATGAACATCATACAAATGCACCACTTTTAGAGATCGTCTGTAGGAAATGAAAGTGATACATTTTTATAATTAAGGAAACCAAAATGTATGGGTTCATAGATGAGAGAGATAAACTGATATTTGTTAATAGTTTAACAGGTCTTGGTGTAAATAATCCAAAATCTAACTGAAAATATAAGAGGTCAAATCTAATAGTTATCAGAAAAATAATAGGAGGAGGATCCCCTCCAGTCCAAATCCATTCCACATTTTGGACTGGAGGGTGCTATTTGGGCCCATAAGGCTCACCACGGGTTCTATTTCAATGCTCTGAAGCATTCATTTTGTCAGGCACTTCCTGTATTTTGTCCACAAAAAAAATTAGGTCGATCCGATAACTGTAACTTGTTTAATTTATTGCATTTGTCACTAAAAAAATATTTGGTTTATTTTTAAAAACACAATTGTCATTTATTTTTTAGTGAAAAATTGAACAAGTTACAGTTATCAGATCGATCTAATTTTTTTTGTGGACGAAATGTGATCTTGTGAACTATTTAGTCCTCTATTGTTTCTTATGAATCTAAAAGTCTTATTAAAATGAAAATTACACAAAAGGGTAGTTATTTACACCCTTAGGTTTAATTTTTTAGCGATAAATGTGGGTTTCTCCAAATGTGAAATTACCCATTTGGACAATCCGCACTATAGAGGCTGTGGATTTTCACTCTTTTTAGAACAAATCCCACATTACGAATAAGAACGTAACACTCTAATGTAACATACTAAAAAATTACTTAATATATTTTTTCCAAACGTAACAACGTAACACTTTAAACTTTTAAAATTACAGAATAAAAATGGGTGACATCTACCCTAATTATAATTGATTAGAATTTTTTTTCTTTTAATTGGGCTTTGCATAAATTCTTTCACATATATATATTTTTTCATTCCATTAAGCAAAGCATAATGGCCACTTTATTTTCGTGTGACAGAACATAAGTAGAGACCTTCATAAGATGAGAAATGCACAACCAATGGCTAGTATTATTAGTGCATGTACGAAGTAAAGAACAAAGAATTAGTACCTTGTTGTAAGATGAGAGCATCCAAACCAATCTTATGTTGGAAAAAATTACTCATATTATATAATTTCATATTGCATATCGCAAAATTATGAGATGAACAAAACAAACCTTCAATCTCAGGAAAAATAACATACTGAATAAAATACAGATAAAATATAAAATGGTTAAAGGAAGCAAACCGAAGCCTGTGTGATACCACAGTCTCCTTAAAATAGATTCGCCACCTCACCGTTGGGTGCTGGAGGTACGCCGGCGTCTACTTCCTAGGATACGACGGTTTTTACCAGCTACAACAGAAGCACCTTCTGATTAGCTTAGCGAACGGACAACGGCAGCACTCTCTCTTAGGAAAAAAATTATAGGAGAAGTAGACTGACAGTGTATGGATGTCAAGGAAAAATTCTATATCTCTTTTCAAGGAATAGGGCCTCCTTTTATACGCCATGGGGGAGAGAGGAGGAGCCTCTAGCCATCAAGGTTGGCAACTAATGCTAGCAAAACTGCCCAATCAATTTTGTAAAACTGATGAGCCTTAAATGTGTGAGTTATATACACATTTATGAGGCAATTTCTTATTCAACCATTTTTCTCCAATAATTCCCCACATGAATAAAAATTGACCAAATACAGCAAACGCTCAACATTTATCAACAAAGACTCGGAAAGAGAGAGAGCACATAGACTATCCCTGCATCAGAAAAGGTAGCTGCTGGCCATAAACCTTTCGTAGTGAAAGCCTATCGGATTTACTGGCTGACCAGTGAACGTGATGTCTTGAACTGTTCTGCCGTTTATGTAAACCGAGACAATAGACCTCACACAGAAGTTAGTCCAACCATTGTTCTTGTTCTCACTGGTGTGTCCGGCATGGCCCTGGAACACTAGCCTGGTTTCTGTGAGTGTTTTTAAAGAATTCGGCCCCTTGGCAATTCTTAAAGAAGCGGCCTCACTTCGCACTCACATAGGTGACCTAGATACGGTATTTCATTATACCACATCACTAAGGTCATTAAAAAGCATTAGCCTTAACCTTCCACCCCCATAGGGCATCAGCTGTATAAAGGAATGGCAAGAGGATTACCTCTTCAGTGACTCACCCATTACACGAAGTTAGGTTGTTCCTTTGAACCTAAGATCTTGAGATCTCCAGTCAAACTAGGTTGGGTTTTCCGTTCGGTAACCTGTTACTAAAAGGCCTTAACCCTATTCCTTCTTGACGACTTTCTCACTAACTCTCGAGTTAACCCTTTGGTTAGCGGCATCCGCAAGTGTTGTCCTTAGACTTGACAATCTAAGAGAACAACTCCATTTAAAGAGTAGTTATCGTATGAATTATGTCTACGACGGATATTCTAGACTTTCATTATACATATTACTCTATGCCCCGACCAATCGCTGATTGGCTATCGCAATGAATACTGATAGCTGGCACAAAGTTTCGCCCAACGTGGGAATAATCCTCAACAAACTGC